AAAAGGAGGTTGTATTCCATATTTCTAGTGTTCTTTAAGGAAAAAGGAGGTCGTAAATTTTTTAATATTTCTAGTGTTTGGTTAGTGTTTTTTAAAGTGAATGCATTATTAGAAGTTTCACAGCTAGGTAATGTATATGCATTTGACACCAAGTAGGTACCATAGATCAAGCCAATGTTAGCATACAAAGAGTTCCAGAGCGAGACATAAAAGGCTAGCTCCAACAAGATATACAGGCACACATCTTCGAATCCATGCAAACAGAGGTGGAAAAATTGGTCATGCAGACAATGTTTCCAACAGAACGTTTCAGAGATTGCGAAGGCTCAAGGCTCATCAGGTTTATTAATATAGATTCATTTTATCTTTATAACAAAAAAGAATGTCCAAATTTCTATAATTACAACGTATGAAGTACCTGAAGCTTGGATAGCAGCTCCGGATTTTGTAACAGCATCTCCAACGGGATGATATTCTGAATTTAATTCGAGCATCTGCTTTCCAGATGATAGTAGAGTTGCAGTGTTTTTATAACCAAACAGGTCGTGGTTTGAACTAAATCTGTCAGGTAATGTTGTCAAGGTATTCTTGCATCCATTTAGGCAATCACTCTTGATGGTAACATTTCCATCAACCAAGGAGCTTAAGAACTCAAAAAGAAAGCCAACGGCTAAGCTTGTCCTATAAGAAGGAGATGAAGTACCCTTTTCAGGAACTATAGTAGCTGCAATCAATGAGACAGCTTCAAATATTACATTATAATCCATAACTTTTCCAGCTAAAAATTCTTCGACCTTTCTTGCTCTAATGGCATGTTTGGTCCCATAGGCTCCAAAAGACAAGTGACAACTATTTAAAAGGATCCCATTTGAACTTTTACATGGAGAGATTACAGCTAAGAAAGCAGCATTTAGGTACGGTAGTGCATTTCCAAGAGGCCGAGGCGATGGTCTAAAAGTATTAAACAATACAGTAGTATCATTTGGATAAATATCTCTAACTGAATCCCAATTTGGGATCTTGACACTTAAAAGTACACATTTAGGACCCAATGGAGGCCTTTTAAGAAACTCATCCAACATAACCACTTCTTCGTTGGAACCAGTTAATATACTTATCATGGAACCTGCAGCAAGGAGTATTGTGGCAATATCTGAAGGAAACTGTCTTCTTTGTGCCATCATTAAATTTCCCCCAATGCTCGCAGTATTTCGGACAAATCCAGCAGCAATTTTCTCCATATGGTCTGCTATTTTATTAAACACAAGCTCACCTACTGAGGAAGGTTCGTGGTTATTATTTTTCAGAGCCTCAATAGCTTTTGCAATCGTCACCGTTGCACCAATGTCTATTCCTGTTGAATCCCTTCTGATAACTGACAACTCAGGGATGTGTTTAAGATTAATATACCTCTCAACATGTTCAAATTCTTTGTAATATCCCACTTCTGTGTTGCCTACGACGAATTTTATTTTACTTGTATTGCTAGTCTCATTGCTTTCTAACAATCTGTTTAGATCCTCGACACTAACCGGATTTAACCAAGAGTGTCCCTTAGAGTCCACAAAAGGGATAGGCCTAAGTTCCTTTTTTAAAAATTCAGGAAATGACAAGAGGCCATTACTTTGACTATATGGTGGTAATTTACTCAATTTTACATCCTCACCACACCCCTTCCGCCAGAATGAGTTTAGCCCCAAATCCTCCATATCAACATCAGCAGCAAAACTCTTGCAGGCATCAGCAATAGGCCTATATCCTGTACAGCGACAGAGGTTTCCAGAAATAGCCTTTTCAGCTTCAGAAACCGTAAGTTTCGAGAATCCCGGTGAGGTCTCAGGTCGATTGGTCTTTTCAGCATTGACGAGAGCAGAAAAAAGTGAAACGCACATTCCAGGGGTACAAAAGCCACACTGAGAAGCATGGAATCCAGCAAACCTTTGATGAATTGAGTGGAAACCATCCTTGCTATTTCCAAGACCTTCACTGGTTGTAACAGAACACCCATGAATACTACAAAGCAAGGTGAGGCATGAACTTACAGTAAAGTCCTCAACCTTATCTAACACAGGATCATACTTGGACAATAGCACAACACAAGCACCACAACCACCTACATTTCAAAATAACCAAACAAGTCAACAGATTTAGATTGAACTAAATTCCATACTATGATTCCTGCCGAGTGGAATAGTGAACTGATGATTAGTTAGAAATTGAATGCAGCCTTCCAACAGAATCCTTAAATTCAAGGCTTTTAAAATGTGTCTATTAGGGAGAAGTTTTCACACCCTTTATAAGGGTGTTTCATTCTCCTCCCAATCAAGGTGGGATCTCACTTTACCCCCTTCGAAGCCCAGCGTCTTCGCTGGCACTCGTTCCTTTCTCCAATCGACGTGGGACCCCACCAAATCCACCCCTTTGTGGCCAGCGTCCTTTGGTGGCCCACCAACCAAGGTGGGATCTCACATGTGAAGGCACTAACACCCAAAACTGAGGGTCACTGAAAAACATTAGCAACTAGCAAGAATATAAACAGTATAAAGTTGTATCAATTAGTTAGAAGTATGAAAAGAATGGACAAGACAACCGTGTTCGGGAAAGAGTCAACAGCGAGTACAGTAATTAAGGAAACAGATACTTAAAGTGCATAAAATGTTGATACACAAGCCAGCTGAAGGCAATTAACAAAAAAAAACGAGAGAAAATCCATAATTTCCATGAAAAGTAAGCAAACCCAAGTCATGGATTTAAGGAAGATGAAGTAATTACCTTCACCACAGCCAAGCTTAGCACTCTTGAAAGGAGTATGGTGGCGCAGAAAGTGAAGCAAAGTAGTAGAAGGATCAACGGTAGAGAGCTCAAATCTCTGCTGATTAACAGCAAAAACCAGCGGAGATGCTGCTTTCTCTGGTTGATTCTCCATTGTCGGGTAGATGAAACTGTAGCGGCGGCGATAAGGGATAATAAATCTTCTTCCCTTCGGTGAATGAGACAGATTTGTCCGAACATGGAAACTGGTTGCAACAAATTTCTGATCATGAGCTTAATTAACACGCGTTCATTTCCCACCCGGTGGATCTTCATTTTGATGCCAACGAAGACAACTTGAAAAAAAGTAATAATAATTTAACTTTTCCCCGGACTTCCTTTATCGAGGAAGAGCGAGAGACGGCAGAGAGAACGAATGAACCAGTTACGAAAAGAAACGTATGAACAAATCTTGAGTTCAAAATTGAAATTGCAGAGTTCATAGAATCAATCATAGAATGGGATGGCGTGAACGTCTCTGAGTGTGTCTGGCATGTCCACTGCTTGTCACTCTTTAGCTATCTGCCATTAATGGTGAATAGCGGTTTGGACTTACTGGCTGAGGGTAGGGGTCTTGTCTGACGTCATCATCCACGTCATTGCCACGGTTACTTTTTTTAGTTTCCCTAGTGTGAGGTGGCCATTCAATAATATCTATTATCTTCATTTTAAAAAGAAAATATCTTTACTTTATAAATATTTTTTAAATATCCAAAAATTTAAATTTTTATTAATATCTTTAAACCTTTCAAAAAAAAAAAATCAATTTTTCTCTTGAGAAATTTTGCTCTATATTTATTTTTAAATAATAATCTTTACGTTTAAGCTTCAAAATAATTTTTATTTAATCGATGTTTTTTTACTACTATTCTTTCCGTACGTATTAATTTCTCTAAATTCATTTTAGACGAAATATGTAAATAAAATTTTTTTATTAGTTAACTTCGTAAGCTAGATCAAACTCAAAACCTGTAACGATAATTAATTAAATTTTAATAAAAAACTCAAAATTCATAACAATTAAAGATTAAAAAAAAATCAAACAAACAAAAACATAATAAAAAAATTATGTGTCTAAATTAATTAGTTTATGTTTGAGTTGACCATATGATTAATATTTTATATGGGTTGTCAAGTTAAGTAATATTGTTTTTAAAAAACAAGAAAACAGTAATTTAATTTAAAAGAATTGATATTTTATTTACAATGATGATGATAATAATAATAATATTAATAGTAGTGGGTATATATATTATATAACCTATAGAATCAAACACCACGTGTATTGATTCTAGTAAAGTCAATATCAATAGTATGATTTAACCCTTAAAAAAATAATTGTTTTCCGTTAATAATATCATTGAAAAAAAAAAAAAAAAATTGGAAGTTCAGAGATTGGAAGTTCCATTCATCAACTTTACACCAAAAAAAAAGAATGTATATTGAGACTTTAACTTGTTGCAATCTCGTTGAATTAAGCTCGGGCTCGAGCAAGGCTTGATGCCGCTACTACTAGACAAGAAATGGGCAGAACTGGAAGCTTGCCCAAGAACTCTAAGACAATTTCATGCTACATTTTAACGTTTGACTGTGAGGAACAAGCTTAATTGAACTTCCGCTCGTCATGAGGATCTGACTTGATAAAGCTATCCAATAAATTATGCATTTACTAGTTCTATATGTTCTCTAAAGCAATGGTCATAGGTGATCGAAATCGCTCAGGTCAGTGTATTTCTAAATGTACACCCAATGAATTATTGGATCAACATATTGATGCAATGCAGCCCGATGTTAAATCTACTGATCAAGTTCAATCTTCCTTTGGTATCTAAACCGTTGGATGGAACCTCTCTAGCGCCTATGTCTAGCTCCTGTAAAGATCTGAATGTAGCACCTATCCTAATTGATTAACGCATTCGTGGCAGTTTCTTAGAATCTCTGGAGGAAAATTTTGAAATCTGGTGTGTTTCTTAGATCCCTAAAGCAGCTTGGTTTGCTACAAAACATCTTTATGGTTCGGTTCCAGCTCTTGGTTTGCTACAAAACATCTTTATGGTTCGGTTCCAGCTCGGGCTAAGAAACCGACCCGCACCAAACTACCCCACCAAAGAAATTCAGTGAGACTGTCTTAAGTAGTACACATCAGTTTTGTTTTCAGAGAGCACAAGATGACAGGAGAGACAAATTTTCTATAACACAAACTAAGGGTAAGCCATCCATCTTCTGCACACTTCACTCATCAATAAGAACTACCATAGCAATAACATTACTACTCCAATTACAAGAACTGTCCTCTGTAAAGGGGCTAACAGAGCATCTTCACTAAGAAACCTTGAATGCAACATGGTTCGAATTACAAGCATTCAAGCATCATAGAAGCTACCCCAACTCGACCTAACTAATTCAATTTCACAAACATTAGGACCTTATCTCTCTTATGGTTTGAAATCAATCATTAGACCGAGAAGGCATAGTAATTCATTTCATTACCAGTATCAGAGTAATGATCGTTGTAATTGAAATATTCCCATAATCGAGATAACCCATACTCTCCGAGCTTAGGTGACTTCAGATAAAGCAGGTGCAATTCTTTCATGTTTTTGTCAAATCTCTCCTTTACGGCAAGTACCTGTATGTTGACGCAAAATTTAGCCTCCTTATCAGTTTTTTTTTTTTTTTTTTTTTTTTGTTCTTTTTTTAAAAAAAAAA